AGGCACTTATGAACTGCCAGACCAACCTGCCAGACATGGATACCGGGAACAAATTCAGGCCCTCTTGCAAGAGCAGTCCGTGCTCTTAGCCACTGAGCCATCTCTCCAGCTCCATGACTTGTCTTGTTTAATTGGCGTGTTTGGGAGGGGTGGGTGAACGTAGCTTTCTGGCACTCCAGGAATGGCATGGCATGTGGGCACACAGTGGCACACTGAGGGAAATGAACTCCAATCCTTTGCATCTGTAGGCCTCTGGTGGTACCGCTAGTCTATGAGCAGCAGGTGGCGCCAGAGCACAGCCTCCTTGTTCTGACCAAATCCTCACCCTGTGCTTGCTTCATTTTTAGCTCCATTTACCATGGAAGGAATTGGAAGCAGCAAACAGTTAAATCAGTTACACCGTTTGATAACTTTAAAAAAAGGCTATCTACTGTCTAGTTTATTACACTAGTAAGAATTACCTTTTATGTGTGCAAAAGGAGTTGACGGTTACATAAAGATCTCAGGCAGCTGGGTGGGCAGGCGGGACAGATGGCCCCTCTGTGGTGATAGATTGTGTACCCCAATAAAGCTTGCCTGGGGATCAGAGGACAGAGCCAGCCACAATATTAAACAGAGGTCAGGCAGTGGTAGCACATGCCTTTAATCCTAGAATTTGGGAGGCAGAGGTTCATCTGGATTTCTGTGAGTTCAAGGCCACACTGGGAACAGAGCCAGGCGTAATGGCACACCCCTTAAACCCAGTGCTAGGAAGGAAGCAGGGCATAGAAAGGCATATAAGGCGTGAGTAAACAAGAAGTCTCTCTCTTGAGGCTGAGGATTTCATAGAGGTAAGAACATGGCTGGTTTGTGCTGTTTCTCTGATCTTTCAGCTTTCACCCCAATATCTGGCTCCGGGTTTGGTTTTTTTGTTTTTTATTAATAAGACCTTTTAAGATTTGCGTTACACCCCTCCGTCTCCATTCACCCCATCTCAGTCTGACTCTGGCCTCCTGAAACTCAGGGGACTTATCTCAGGCCAGATGTACCCAGAAGGTACTTGGTTGTGTCAGGAAAGCTTGGCATGATTCAAGATAACAGAGTGAATCTGACTTCGGAAGCATGTCGGGGGGGGGGGGGGTGTGCAGAGAGGGGAATGCTGGAAGCTTATAGCCTGATAAAAGGTCTGGGACCCCCGCTCTGCTCCCCAACTCTCACACTGACTGCAGAGTTACCGGACCCACTGCACACAGCATGGTGTCATCCCACAGGGCTGGGGGTTCCTTCAGAGAAGCACGGAGCTTGTGTGAAGAGAACAGTGGCCTTGCTAGCCCATACAGGTGATGGGGTTAAGAGCTGTGGCTTTGGTGGCATTCTACTGTAAGCCTGGCAACCTCTTCTCATAACAATAATTATTTTTTCCTTAAACCTTTTTTATTTTTGAGACAGGGTCTTATGCATCCCCTATTTGAAAGGATGAAACGGCGCTGGTGGGTTGGTGGGGGTGGCAGAAAAGTTCCGGGCCAAAGCTACCAGAGTTAGAAAGAGCTTTATTAGAATGAAACCAGGCCTGGAGAGACAGAAAGATGGCAGGAGCAGAGCAGAGAGGAAACAGAAAAGAGGAGAAGCACAGAGAGAGAGGGTGGGGGTCCGTGTGCGGCTTTTTGAGTCAGGGACACAGTCACCCATTGATGACATTAGGTGCCAGACAAGACCCCCAGCTGCACATGTACAGAATCCTAACATTCCAGACTTTTGCTTATTATAAAAAAGCAAGTAAATAGGAATGGGGTGTCGTTTCTCCCGGAAAAACTGCTTCCAGCTGACTTGGTGGGCGTCGGCTGGCTCTTAGGGGGAATAAGGAAGGGGGTCTTCCAAGGTAGACAGGCATTGTGGGATGATGGGCTGTCCGGCCGGCCGTTACTCTGGAGCCATGCATCCCTCTTGGCTTGGCACCCTGGCCGCTTTTGTGTCTGACAGGATGCTGATGAGACAGAAAAGGCCTGAAGCAGATCTGACCTGTCCAGATGGATTTAAGCTGGTTTCTGGAGCATGGGAAAATTTTTGAACATGTTAAGAAGCAGCCATGAGAAAATCAGTGACCATTTGTGGTGTTTAGTACTCTGCTTGTATTGGTTAGTGTTAATGGAAGAGACAGAGAGATTGGAATATGTTAAGCTTTATCCGAGAGAGATTATTTTAAGGCACCTGTTTCCTTTACTAGTTTGGCATCCAGGAGACAGGTGATCAATTGTTAAAAGCATTTAACAGTAATAGATGGTCATATTAAAGTCTGTTTTTGTAGAGCCCAGACACTTTTGGGTCTGGGGTGTAAATACCTTTCAGCTGTTACAGTTTCTTACTTGATGATCTCTGGACTCCGGTTCTGTGGTGGTCCTGTACCATCAGCTGAGCAGTGAGTTAGTTTCCTTTTTTTCTTTTCTTTTCTTTTTTTTTTTTCCAGAGTTGAGGACTGAACCCAGAGCCTTGTGCTTGCTAGGCAAGCGCTCTACCACTGAGCTAAATCCCCAACCCCTGAGCAGTGAGTTAGAACAGGGAACTGGGAAGAGAAAAGCTTGTGGTGCATGAGAACTTATCTCTTTGGAATTAGGGACAAGGCAAAGATCAGGGCCCTGTAACCACAGGCAGGTGGGTCTGGAGTGAGGCACATGGAAGGGAGCAATGAAATGAAAGCTCCTGTCTTAGCTGGAAATCTTTCCCATTAAGTAACCCTGAAAGTGCAATTAAATCTGGTGAGGTGGGTAAGGCTGTCCTCCCTACCCTGACAATTTGGAAATGAGGAGAGGCAAGACCCCAAAACTCCCAGGACTGAGTCAGTGGCTCTGGTGTCCAGAAGGAAAGAAATGGATCACTTCCCTGCTGCTTTCTGGTTGTTTGGTGGAAGAGTCACGAGCCATGGCTACCAGAGTTAGAATGGGCTTTATTAGAGAGAAAAGGGGATAGGATGGGTAGGCCAGGCCTGGCAGAGAAGAAACAGAAAGAGGCACAGAGAGAGCGTGGGGGTGCACATCCAGCTTTAAGGCTGGGACACAGTTGCCCGTTGATGATGTAATAAGGCACCAGACAAGACCCCGAGCTGCACATGTACAGAATCCTAACACTACTGACCTCAAACGCCTTTAATCTCAGCGCTCTGGAGGCAGAAGCAGGTGAATCTCTGTGAGTTCCAGGCTAGCCAGAGCTATGTAGAGAGATCATGTCTCACACCCACCACTCCCTCAGAAAGAAGTATTACTGGGCAGGAAGGGAATATAACAAAATATAACATAGTAACAAAAGAAGCTGTTTAATTAAAATCCAAGGAGAGCAATCCTTTATTTGTCTGTATCCAATAATAGCTTCAAAATATACAGTAAAACTAAACAGTAAAATATACAGTAAAAATAAACAAGCCATAATTAAAGTTGGGTGTTTTGATGTGCCTCTCAAGAGAGAGAGCTAGGGACTCATCATTCCGCTCCACATTCTATTCTTTCCCTTGTTTTATATATTTTAAATTTTTTATCGGTGGATTCTGCTGGAGTTTATCAGTAGATTCTGCTGGAATATCCGATGCAGATAAGCACTGGAGGGCTCCTGTTGCAAATCACCCTCTGGAGCGATGGAAGGATCTTTCTACTAGCACGTGGAGGAGACCCGATCTAGTGTTGGTGTGGCCCCGGGGTTCTGTTTATGTCTTTCCTCAGGACAATGAGGTTCCTCTTTGGATTCCTGAGCACTGAACATGCCCTGTGGCTGCTGCTGAAGCCCAACATGACAGAGACCTAATGGGTCTTCATGAAAAAACTACCCTTCTGATGCCAATGGAGATTAAGAGCCCAATATCGCCAGCTTTGGCAAGCATTAATGTAAGCCTAGGAACTGTAGCCATGAGATTGGATTCTCCAGAAGAACTGCCAGCCTAAGTCATGCTGGGATCAAGAAAAATGGGCCTTGGCGGTTCGTGTTCCTGGAGTTGTATCCATGCCAGTAGATGTTCACACACTCCAGAAGAGAATTTGACATTGCTGCTACCACTGTTGCTGTTATAGCAGTGGCGGCCACCGCTGCTACTGTGTCTGGGATTACCATTTCATAATTGCTTACTACAGCTAGCACAGTGGAGACCCTGGCAACAAAAGTAGCTACCACAGTTAGTTAATCTTCCATTCTATTGGGCATGATAAATTTAATTCAGTAGTTATATACATCTTGATTGGCTTTGAAAATTATAAATTTATAAACTCAAGTTTCAGTTGCTTTTGTGGTACTATCTTACAAGGACTCCAACATACAGTATGGCTCATTAAGGAAGGGAATGGCTCAGTTGCCTTTAGCCTACTGGCTATGGGTGAGATAGGACCTCTATTGGTCTTTTCTGTGTCGAACACACAGATTGTAAGCCCAGTGCCACTTTGAGATCTTTGGCAGCAGTTAATTCTGCAGCTCACACATGACTGAGCCTGTATGATAATGAGTATTCAGAGACGGGTAATGCCTGGGGGGCGCTCACCAACCTAAGACAGAGCACCTGTGGGGCCTGGGCAGGCATCTCCATGACGGGTAAGGTGACCTGCTGCTGTGCCACGCAACCCAAGTCAGAAGCTCATTATTTAATAAAAGGGGGACCTGTAAGTCCCTGACCCCCGTTTTGGGTAACTGTTGCCTTGCTTTTGGATCTTGACCTTGATATCCTCCCTATGCTAATTCCCTGCCAGGTTCCACCCTCCTGAATGCTTAAGGGAAGTTCCTTGTCTGTGTATCCTGAATAATGGGCGTTAACAGCTTAGATGCAAGATTGTAAACATCGGTAGCGAACTTCTGCCCTCTGGGGTTCTCCCATTGTGCTGTAAGCCTGTATTTAAGACCTCCTCCCTCCTTCCATAAATGACACTCGGCATTTAAAATTATATATATATATATATATATATATATATATATATATATATATATATATATATATATATATATAAAATTGAATGAAAAAAAAAGATTCATGCAACTCTTGGTGGACTGACATTTTCTTCATTAATGTGGCCACTGGTAGCTAGCTGCCCATGCTTCTGCAAAAAAGACCCATATCCCTGTAAGTTCACTGATTCATAAAAGCAACCTGAAGGAAGTAGACCAAAGTAGAGAGAGAAAGAGAGAGAATACAGAAGCCTTGAGCAGTGTGATCAGTCACTGTTATCTTCACAGAAGCCTTGAGCAGTGTGTTAGCTACCTGTTATCTTCATGTGTGAATGAAAACCAGATCTTGCATCATAAAATAATTCTCCAAAATTTTCAAAGAAATGAAATCTTAGATGCATGTTCTCTGGGAACGGTTGAAGTAGATACTGTATGAATGTTGTGATTTAAATGAGAATGGCCCCCAAAGGCTCATATGTCTGCATGCTTAGTCCCCAGTTGGTGGACTGTGTGGAAAAGACTAGGAGGTGTGGCCTTGTTGGAGGAGGTGTGTCACTGAGGTTTTAAAAGCCCATGCCAGGCCCACTTCTTTCTCTCTTTCTGCCTGCTGCCTTCAGAGCAGGATCTAAAGCTCCCAGCTACTTTTCCAGCACCGAGCCTCCCTTCCTGCTCCCCGGCTCCTCTCTGTGATGGTCATGATTCACCCTCTGAAACTATAAGCAACCCCAACTAAAGGCTTTCTTTTATGAGTGCTTTGGCCATGGCGTCTCTTCCCAGCAATAGAACAGTGACTGAGACAGAGGTGGAAGCCAGCTGCTCAGATTTCTGGCTAAGATCAAACTTAAAATGCATAAAATGCACCCCAAAAACAAAGTACTCAGAGGGAGCTTTGTAGCATTAAGTGAATATTTAGGTAATAGAAAACCGCACCCCAGGGAGCCCACAGAAAATAAAGCCCAAATGAAACAGATGAAAATAAAATAGAGATCAGTGGGCAGGAAGTGAGCGGAAGTCGCTGTGGCCAAAGGCTGGTTCCCTGCAAAGACTAACCAACTGATGTGTCCCCTAAAACTCACCTAGGAGAGAGACAAACCCACAAACGATCATATCAGGACCGGAAAGGGACATCCTCACACTGAAAAGATGTTCAACAAAATTAATTATGAAGATTTCATGCTAATGTATTTGTGAACTTAAACAGAACAACAAAATTCCTTACAAATCACAAGCAGGTAGAAAAGCTGAATTTACCAGTCTCTGTCTGGTAAATCAAATGCAAATCTTTGTACAAAAATCAAACCTTCAAAGAGGAAGTGATGCCTTTTTTTTTTTTTTTAACAGAAACTGTTTCAGAGAATAGATTTTAAAGGGAATATTTCTCAATACATTTTGAGAAACCAAACCTGGCCAGACCATTATAAAGTGAGAAAAATTACAAAACATTACTTCTCATGAACACAAGCACAAAAATCCCAAAACTAAGAGGTTACTTTTTTCAAGGAAAACAAAAGTACTTTATCTCTTTTAAAGAAGGATATGGTGGTGCACGCCTTTGATTCCAGCACTCGGGAGGCAGGCAGATCTCAGAATTTGAGGCCAGCCTGGTCTACAAGACAAGTTCCAGGACAGCCAAGGGTACACAGAGAAACCCTGTCTCGAAAAACCAAAAACCAAACAAACAAAGGGTGGTGCTCTAGCATTTAGGGAAAAACCAAACAAACAAAGGGTGGTGCTCTAGCATTTAGGGAAAAACCAAACAAACAAAGGGTGGTGCTCTAGCATTTAGGGAAAAACCAAACAAACAAAGGGTGGCGCTCTAGCATTTAGGAGGCTGAGGCAAAAGGGTTGAGAGTTCAAAGCCAGTGAGATTCTGCCTCGGTAAACCAGGAGAGGGAGGAGGAGAAGCGGGGGGCGGGGGAGGGAGATTGGGAAGAGTGATGGAGTTTGAACCTGTGCACACCCTCCTACAAGATGTAGTCCAGGGTAGAGGAGTGGGAAGAGCGCGGATGTGAAGACAGCTGCCTTTCCCACGCCCCCGCCGGCATTTGCCTCCCTATGTAGAAGAAGATGTGGCTGCAACTCTTTTGAAACACATCTTCTAGGTTCTTCTTAAACTTTTCTCCTATGAAGGCATAGATGACAGGGTTCACACAGCAGTGTGTGAAGGAGATGACTTCCGTGACATGGGTGGCCAGAGCCAGCCTCTGGCTCAGGGCACATCCGTCCAAGACATGCATGTCGTGCAGGGACGTGAGGAAGAGAACCACGTTGAACGGGACCCAGAAGAGCAAAGACGCAATGACGACGATGAGCACCAGCTTGACGGCCCTGGTGCTGCTGCGGTTCTGGCATCCCCGCAGCTGGTGCAGGATCTTGGTGTAGCAGAATAGAAGGATGGCAAAGGGGAGCAGCAGGCCCAAGGTGTTTACTTCAAAGTGAGCAAAGAGCTTCCACCTCAAAGACTGATTGTCATAAAATGGGAAACATTGTAGAATACCATCGTCAGAGGCCACTTGATAAAATACCAGCAATGGAATGGTGGCCGTGATGGCAATCAGCCACACCACCAGGCTCAGGGCTGTGCCCACTCTGGCCGTCCTCACTTTGATGGCATAGACGGCATGGACGATAGCCAGGTACCTGTCCACGCTCATGAGGGTGATGAAGAACATGCTGCTGAAAAAGCCAATATAATACAAGCCAGAGACCACTTTACACATGACGGTCCCAAACACCCACTGGTCCAGCAGGTAGTGAGTCTGAAAGGGGAACGAGAAGACAAAAAGCAGGTCCGAAATGGCCAGGTTCAGGAGGTAGATGTCTGTAATACTCCTCAGCTTCTTGCAGGCCACAAGGACCAGGATGACCAGGCTGTTTCCCAGAAGGCCCAGCACAAACAAGATGCAGTAGAAGATGGCAAGATGCAACCTGCTGCCTCGGAGGAGGAACTCTGTGTCACAGGGCATGGTGAAGACGTCAGGGTAGTAGTCGGTCATGGTGACATTGGGTTCCAGGGTGTAATCCATCGCGGCAGGAAGACCTGACCAAAGAGGCATAGGAGGGATGCTGAGGAGTGTGTTCACACGCTGAAGCCCTTAGCACTCCCCTCTCCCCTCTCTGGGGCTCAATATCAGGGTGTTAATGGGGCACACATGCTCTACCACCAAGCCGTATTCTCCCTAGACCCTGCTTCCTTTAGACAGGGCAACTTGCTACATAGCCCAGGCTGGCCTCCAGCCTCAGCCTCCCTGGTGCTGGTATTACAGGTCTGTACCATGTACCACCTTGCTTGGCTCCTCTCTCCCTCCCTCCCTCCCTTCCTTCCTCCGTCCCTTCCTCCCTCCCCTCTCCCTCCTCTCCCCCCTCCCTCACTCCCTTCTCCCTTATTTTAACTAATTTATTTATTTATTTGTTTTTATAATTTTGAGATTGAGTCTCACTATGTAGCCTTGGCTGCCTTAGAACTCCCTCTGTAGACCAGGCTGACCTCAACTCACAGAGCTCCGCCTGCCTCTGCTTCCCGAGTGCTGCGATGTGCCACTATGCCTGGCTTCTCTTCATGTTCTATATCCATAAACAATATACAGGCAGGATGTGGTGACACATGTCTTTAGTCCCAGCACTTGGGAGGCAGAGGCAAGTGAATCTATGAGTTCAAGGCCAGTCTGGTCTACATAGCGAGTTCCAGGACAGCCAGGACTACATAGAGAAACCCTGTCTCAAACAAAAAAATATATATGTATATACAAATATAATATTTGTGTATTAATTCATAAGTTACATAAATGGTTTTATATTTCACTTTGGATGTATCCCATGGTATCCATGAATTTAGTTCATTCTTTCATTGACCCCAGAAACAACTTAAAATGCAATAGGAAAAATGATCCCAGCTACACTAAATATGAAAAGCATCAGGTTTGCCAGAAGTAAACCTAATAAAGGCTATAATTCATCCCTAATCCAAACCAGGGCTGGAGAAGAGCCAGTTCTTTAAGGTGCTTGCTGGGCAAGTGTGGAGACCTCAGTTCAACCAAAACTTACGTGTTGTGGTGGGTCCCTGTGATCCCCGTTCTGGAGACAGAGACAGGCAGGTCTCTGAGGCTCTGGCCAGCCTGGCCTGCTTGGTGAGCACAAAGCCAACGAGAGATTCTATCTCAAGAAACCTGAGGGATGGCACCAAGGCTGACCTCTCACTGATATGGGCACACATGCATACGTATGCACATATTCAGGCACACACAAAACAGAACAATATAGAATAAAATTATAGGGCCTGGGGGTGTACCTCACTGGCAGAACAGACACTTAACAAGCACAAGGCCCTGGGTTCCATCCCCAACACCACTACACACAAATCTGAAAACTTCACTGGAAGAAGTGTGATTGAAAGGAAGCCTTCTGTGTAGAAGGGCTGACCCCCAGATCTTGTCTTGCCTGACTCTCCACTCTTTCTGTTGTTGTTGTTGTTTTGTTTTTCGAGACAGGGTCTCTCTGCGTTGTTTTTGGTGCCTGTCCTGGATCTCGCTCTGTAGACCAGGCTGGCCTCGAACTCACAGAGATCCGCCTGGCTCTGTCTCCCAAGTCCTGGGATTAAAGGCGAGCTTTCACTTCCTCCTGTGTCCTGGAGAGAGCAAGGGGCATGCGTGCTCCTCTCAGCCACCAAAACATAAACCCGAATATGGGCTCAGGCTTTGGAAACATTCAAATTTTTTAGAAATGATCTGGAAAATATTAGGCTTTTCCTGACCTCTCTCTAAGGAGGTAAAAGCACCCCTGCACTGCCTCTGTGCCCTCACCCCAGGACGGTTCTGAGGTTTCAGAGCTGCCCACTCTCCGTAGGCTGCATGTCTGCCATGTGTCGACTCCTCTGTCTCATTGGCTCACCTGTATGTCTTGCTTCAGCCAGTCTGAAGGGTGACATTCAGAACTATCTCTGGTTTTGGGGACAGTTCTGTTCAGCCTTCAGAGTGGTGGCATTGCAGGGATGCTGCTGCAGCGTGCCAGGGTGCTGCTGCAGCGTGCCAGGGTGCTGCTGCGGTGTGCTAGGCTGCAGGTGCTCTTCTACTTTCAAGCTTCGGTTGATTCTACCTCAGATCCGGGGCAGAGACAAACAGAGGTCATCAGACTCCTCAGAACGGTGACGTGGGGGTGAGGTGGGGGGAGGGATCTGTCCAGAACAGATGATTAAAATAACACCTGTAAAAGTGAAAAAGCCCTAAGGCTGTTCTCTAGAATAGAGCAGGAAAGAAAAGCCACCACTGTTAGGTCTCAAACCCTGGGACAAACGCTGGGGTGCCTGTGTAACATACCAAAGCAGACCTGGGTGTTCTCCCAGCATCCCTCATTCCCTACCTGTTCCAGGGTTTGGCTGGCATACCCCACCCTCTACCTTAACTCTCCAGCCCGGGGTTGGGCTGCCCTTCCCCCAGCTACCCTCCCTATATAACCAGCCATCTGGTCACCTGGTCTCTTTCCGTCTACTCTCCAGGCCAGTCTCTTTGCCCAGGCCTCCGCTCTTAGTGGGCAGCTGCTCTCCCCTCCCCCCCCCTTACCCCCGTCCCTTCCTCCCTCTCCTCATATGGCCCAGCTCAGGATCATGTCCACTCTGTCCCTTTGGTCAACAACAAACTCTGTCCTTCTCCATACCTAGGAATACCCTTGTCCTTTCCTTTTTTATTTCTTTTTTTTTATTCAACCACCACCACCAAAAACAAACAAAAAAACTACCACACCATATCGTTTATAATAGACTATTTAGAAAGCAGTTACAGACTTTAAATTAAAAAATACAAAAGCTGGGATGTAGCTAGAGTTTTTCTGCCTGGCCCACAGTCAGGACAAATCTCTCTCACCTGCCAGTCCCACAGCCGCTCAGACCCGACCAAGTAAACACAGAGACTTATATTGGTTACAAACTGTATGGCCGTGGCAGGCTTCTTGCTAACTGTTCTTACAGCTTTAATTAATCCATTTCCATAAATCTATACCTTGCCACATGGCTTGTGGCTTACCGGCATCTTCACATGCTGTTTATCATCGTGGCAGCTGGCAGTGTCTCTGACTCAGCCTTCCACTTCCCAGCTCTATTTTCCTCCTTGTCACACCTACACTTCCTGCCTAGCCACTGGCCAATCAGTGATTTATTTATTGACCAATCAGCAACACACTTGACATACAGACCATCCCACAGCACTGGGACATCGCTCAATTGGTAAAATGTTTGCTGTGTAAGCATGGAGACCCAGCTTTGTTCCCCAGGACCCAGGTTAAAAACATCAAGTGTGGTGGTACATGTCTGTAATCCCAGCGTTGGTGCAGACACAGCAGGAGCCCCAAGATTTGCCGCTCAGCCAGCTGAATTGTTCAGCTCCTGCCTCAGAAAAATGGAAGGTAGAGAGCAAACAAGAACGACACTGATGTCGGCCTCTGGCCTCCATGCACACACACACACACACACACAAAAAAAAAAAAAAACATCTTTTTTTTTCAAGACAGGGTTTCTCTGTGTAGCTTTTCACCTTTCCTGGAACTCACTCTGTAGCCCACGTTGGCCTCGAACTCACAGAGATCTGCCTGCCTCTGCCTCCCGGCACACATAATGTTTTTACAGCATTATGGCCCTCTAGTCCCAGACAACCCAAATAGCTGGAATTATAAATGTATGCTACCATGCCCCTAGGCTGCTTAATTCCACAGTGGCATCTGACTAGTCAACATCCGTCCTAACCCCTGTGCTCTCTTCTACGAAGCAACAATCGCTGGCTCTTCAGGGACAGAACATGTACCCAGGCCAGTGGGGTAACAGGCACCAGCTGGACGACAATGTCTTGCCTGGCCATCAAGAGCCAGGGACATAAACAGATCCTTGATCAGCCAAGCAGTGGTGGCACATGCCTTTAATCCCAGCACTCAGGAGGCAGAAGCAGGCGGATCTCTGTGAGTTCGAGGACAGCCTGGTCTGCAGAGTGAGATCCAGGACAGCCAGGGCTACAGAGAGAAAAACCAAAAACCAAACAAACAAAAAACAAAAAAACCAGACTGTCGATCAACCTACCCCGAGACAGACAGGTGACCCAAGAAGGCCACAGAGGCCTTGCCCATCTAGCTCACGTGCTGTAATGGATAACAAATGATAAGCTCTCCCCATCCTGCCAATCACAGATGAGGAGCAGCAGGGAAGGCGAAGAGAGGTGCTGGACTCGTGGGGTGGGGGTGGGGTGGGGGTGGGGTGGGGTGGGGTGGGGTGGGGGTGGGGTGGGGTGGGGTGGGGGCGGTTCTAACAGCCCACCTGGCAGGATCGGAATCGCTGAGGAGACAATGCTTCTGGACCTGTCTCTGAAAGATTTTCTAGGTGATATCAATTGAAGTGGGAACTCATCCTAAGTGTCCTGGGACCAAATGAAACAGACAAAAACAAAAACCCTTTCTTCCTGTCTTAGGGACCTTACTTTTCTGTTGCTGTGGTTAAATACCCCAACAAAGGCAACTGAACAAAGGCAACTGAAGGGAGACAGTGTGCACTGGGCTCACAGCCCTGGTTCAGTCAGTTCTACAGAGAGACCAGAAAGCCATGGTGACTGTGTTCACAGTCAGGAAGCCGAGAGCAATGCATGCTGGGTAAGTCACTTTCTCCTTTTTATCCAGTCCAGGATCCCAGTCAGGGAATGATGCCACCCAGTGTGGGTGTCTTCTCATCTGGATTAGCTAATCAAGGTAATTCCAGATCTCATCAAGTTAACAATGGAGATGAACCACCACACTTTCTTTTCTTTTTTTTTTTTTCTTCCTGAGCTGAGGACTGAACCCAGGGCCTTGCGCTTGCTAGGCAAGCACTCTACCACTGAGCTAAATCCCCAGCCCCTCCACACTTCCTAAAGTTGCTTTATGGGTTGTTTTGCCACAGCAAAGAGGAAAGCAGCTAATAAATACCAGTAACAAGGAAGGTAAGATGTTCCCTCAGATGGGTCACACTGTGCCTGTGTGTGTGTGTGTGTGTGTGTGTGTGTGTGTGTGTGTGCACGTGCCTGTGTGTCTGTGTGCGTGTGTCTGTGTGCACGTGCCTGTGTGTCTGTGTGCGTGTGTCTGTGTGCACGTGCCTGTGTGTCTGTGTGCGTGTGTCTGTGTGTGTGTGTGTGCCTGTGTCTGTGTGTCTGTGTGCATGTGTCTGTGTGTGTGTCTGTGTGTGTGTGTGTGTGTGTGCGTGTGTCTGTGTGTGTGTGTCTGTGTGCATGTGCCTGTGTGTCTGTGTGTGTGTATCTGTGTGTGTGTGTGTGTCTGTGTGCATGTGCCTGTGTGTCTGTGTGTCTGTGTGCATGTGCCTGTGTGTCTGTGTGCATGTGCATGTGTGTATCTCTGTGTGTGTGTCTGTGTGTGCCTGTGTGTGTCTGTGTGTGTGTGTGTGTGTGTGTGTGTGTCTGTGTGTGTGTCTGTGTCTGTGTGCATGTGCCTATGTGTATGCGCATGTGCGTGAGGAGGCAGGAGGACAACCTTTACTGTTGTTCTGTTTTTATTAGGTATTTTTAAACTTATTTATTTTGTGTGTATGCGTGCTTTGTCTGTTTGTATGTCTATGCATCACATTTATGCCAGTGGAGGGTATCGGATCCCCTGGGACTGGAGTTACAGACCATTATGAGCTGTCATGTGGTTGCTGGGAATCAAACCCCAGTCCCCTGGAAGAGCAGCCAGTGCTCTAACCACTGAGCCATCTCTCCAGCTCCATCTACTCTTGTTCTTGTTGTTTGTTTGTTTGTTTGCTTGAGACAGGGTTTCTCTATGTAGCTCTGGCTGTCCTGGAACTCACTCTGTAGACCAGGCTGGCCTCGAACTCACAGAGATCATCCTGCCTCTGCCTCCCGAGTGCTGAGATTAAAGGCGTGCACCACCATACCTGGCTACTCTTGTTCTTAATGTGTCTTCTACCATTTGTTTCCGTTGTTTTGAGGTGGTCTCTCCCTGGCCTGGAACCCCCTCATTTGGATAGGCTGGCTGGCCAGTTACCCCAGGGGTCCACTTAACTCTGCCTCCCAGAGAGCTAGGATTGCAGGCACGTGCTCCCATGCCTGGATTTTTGTTTTTGAACATGAGTTCTGGGGACCAAATGCAGGTCCTTGTATTTGCATGGCAGACATTCTACCACATCTCTCTCTGGCCTCAGGACTTAGATGCCACTTCAGGTGACAGTGCAGTCCTCTCGGCTTCTGTTTCGTGACTGTGAATCTAATTCTCCAACTAACGGACAGATTTGCACAAGGTCCTGCTGGGCTAGGGAGGGGACCCAGTTGTCTTCACCCTGGCACACCACTGATGAGGTTGGACTCATGGTTTCCACTGTCAAGACAAGTATCAGCAGCAGCAGTGAGTCCTGAGTTCCCAGTCAGCTCAACATTGATACTTTCTCATCATAATTGATGCTGTCTTAAAGGCTGGGGCTTTCCCCAAGCTTGGTTAAAACATCTTGGTGAGGAGAATTATATAGGTATGAATTCAGGTGCCAGAAGATGCTTCTAAAGGATAAACCCGTGAGTCGGAAAAGACTAACTCCCTCATTCTGAGTGTTTAAGTCCACAGAAATGAAATGAATCACTCCAATAACACAGTACGTTGGGGCGAGGGCTAGGAGGCAAAATGCATGCTGAGCAAGTGTGGGGTCCTCAGCTTGGATTTCCGTAATCCACATAAAAGGACTAGCGCAGAGCATCTGCCTGTGATCCCAGTCTGTGGAGGAGGCAGAGCTAAAGGATCCATGGAGTCCTGCAGCCAGACATTCTGGCAGAAGCAGCAAGTTCTGGGTTCAAACCCGTCGTATGGTAAACATCAAGAAAAGACACAGATGACACTGGAAAAATCCTTTAGAATTTTCTGTAATGAAAATTCTCAGAATTGAAATGGAGTGACTTATGCCAATCCTGATGAAAAATAAAGGGCTAGATATGGCTCAACAGCTAAGAGCATAGGCTGCTCTTCCAAAGGACCTGGGTTCAATTCCCAGCACCCACATGGCAGCTCACAATTGTCTTCAATTCCAGGCCAGGAGATGTGACACCCTCTTCCAGCCTTCTCCAGCACCAAGCACGCATGTGGTGCACAGACAGACATACAGACCGAACATCCGTTCATATAAAATAAATGTTTAAAACAAAACAAAACAGGGGGACCATCTGGGAAAGATGAATGAATGAATAAGCCA